CACAACAAAGAATGAGACCAAATGGACAAAGACACAACACACGGATGTTTCCTAAATTGCCATTAGCGACCTCTAGCATCACCAAATGGGCTGATTTTAAGTGCTGTTGATGGGTGATAGCAGTACTTTAAGGAAATGAGGGGAAAGGTTTTACATTTATCACAGCGACCTAATTTGAACACTTAGGTAGCAATTAAGTCACATTTATGTTCAAGGTGCATGATGAACTATAATACGAGTTATCAGTATGTTCCCAACCTGGGCCATTAGCCTTGAGTCAAATACCCACATTCTGGCTCTAAGCCTGATTATAAATTTGAACACTCATAAAAAGACTGCATCGTCCAAAAGAAAGAGCTTAGTCAAAGATGTATATTTAAATTTGGCTCTGCCACTTACATAAAGGATCCCCTTAGAGCTACCCTAAAGCAGTGTTTTTCCAACTATAAATGTGTATATAAGTCACCTTGGGTTCTTGTTAAGTGCTGATTATGGTTAAATTGGTCTGAGGGGTGGAATCTGAGATAGATTTCTACCTCCCCTGGTCCCTGGACCAACTCTGAGTAGCAAGGCCTTGGAGGTTTATTGATAGAACATGTAGACAACGTGTGTGTACATGAAAAAACATTTTGTAAGCTGTAAAATGGCATCAGTATCACTTTATATTAATAGGTGGTGATTCAGTTCAGCTCATCAAGAAAAAGTCCTAGAATAAATGATGTTCCAGATCTGTAATTTTTCCTTTTTAGCAAAATCAAAAACAAAACTAGAAATTGGAAAAGCAACACAAAAAAGGTATTCATCCTAAACAATTTTGTTGCTTTTTGGTTGCTCTCAAAGATTAACTTTGTATCACCATCCTAACTAAAATGATGGAAAAAAAAAAAAACACAATCCTGCTTTTTAAAAGATTAGACCCAATCGTACAATTAGACCCAATTGTAGATTTGTCCTGTAGATGGTCTCATCCCAATCAAAATAGAAATAGTAAGTTACAAAGAAAAGGAAGAAGACAGCTGGCTCCAGAAATACTGGCAACAAGAAGAAGAGATTGTTGTGAGGAAAGAAATGAAAAACTAATAAAAGCAGACATAAGAACACAGAAATCAGAGCTGTATAAACATCTAGTTTCTCTACGTAAAACTGCTCTTTTTCATTGCCATCGGCATTTTCTGGAAGAAATGAACAAAATCATCAGGTATAATTATTGATCTCCAAAGCATTTCTGTGTTCCTTATCTAAAGCACAATCAACAATTCCTGTTTAAGTGTCGGTTCAAAAACTGACCCCTGTACACAGAGGACATGAAGAGACCAAAGAAAGAAGCAGGCCGCCCCAGGCTGGAAGGTGTCAGGTTTCATAAGCAAGGGAACCTCCATGCAAGACTTGTTTTTGGGTGGCTGCAAGAAGAGTAGATCGTCACACCACACCCACCAACAGGAATCTTAAGAGTTTATATGGAAGCCTTGCCTGGGTTCACTCACGTGCATGGCCAGATGGTCTCAATAATGGCTTAACTCTCTTAAGGCAGCGTCCTTGAAAGGGTTCCAGCTGTGGAAACAGTGGGTGGAATGCACATTTCTAAGGATAGGGGTGGGGGTGAGGAGCTTCTGATTGCTGGGGTCCATCTTTAGGGTCAGCTGGAGGTCTCAGCCTCTCCATGAACTCCAACACCAAGGAAACATACACTCTCTCTGAGTTCCAATACCACAATATTTTGGCCAATCTTTCATTATTACATGGTCAGTTTGCTGTATTATGCGAAGATTTTCATCACCTATCAGAAAACATATGGCAGGACCCTCCCGTGGAATAAAAAACACTTCCTGATCTTTCAGATTTTGGACAGAATGACTCCTTATCGTAGACCCAGATCACCAACACCTTACCCAGATCAAGCAAAAAGCTTGCTTACTCCCATGATGGGTCTGGTCTCTTTACCGTGGTTCTGGAGGCGCCATGATTATAAGGTTAGAACTCTCCGCAAAGATGCCAGAAATTCATCACACTCACTTTCATCTGAATTTTACCATTTGTCTTCCTGCTTCCATTTCTGTTTATTCTCTCTCAATTGCCTGTAGTGACAGGAAGCATCACTTCTTTGCACTAGCCCTGGGGAATCTGGGTCAGCTGCCCCAAATGGGTGGCCTCTTAATTAAGCAGCTCTTCACTCCCTGGTTGCTTCACCTAAGAAAACCTGAAATTTGAGGATGACCGAGCAGTCGTTCCCCTCCACAGAAACACTTGTATGGTGCATCAGGAGTGGTTTTAAATGGTGGAGATAATTACTTAATTCAAGCTGTAGCAACTGGCCAAGTAAACATGTAGCAGCCAGGAAGCTATTAGCATGATTTTAAGGCAATTATTCCATTAGTGTTTAATAGTCTCCAATTAGTCTTCTCTATCAAAGTTTGAATGTCTTTTTTCCTCCAAAAATTTTCACAGTTGAGTAATGCAGAAAAGTACCAAACCCATTTTTACACCTAGATTTTATACATACGGATCTACCAAACCGCCTTTACAAAATTATGGGGAAATTCAGGGGCGTGGATTTGGTGAAACATGGTTGTTGTTTTTTTTCTTCTCAGAAGTACTGGGGGTAAGAATGGGAGGCTTTGTAGGGGATTCACTTTGAGTGTAATATTAAGAAGGGCTGGGAAAGCAGTGAAAATTCCCACTGCGTCCAATGCCACAACCCCTCTTAGTATTATACTCAAAATGGAGCCCATGCAAAGCCTCCCCAACTTACCCCCAATGCCTCTACTGGAAGACAAACAGAATATCAAAGTCTCTGACCTCAGGTTTTCACTTTGTCCCATGGGGAGAAAAGGAAAATTGCCCTGTATCCTGCTAATGCCTAGTTCCTTGTCCCCTCACCCTGGTTAGTAGCTGTTGCTACTGAGCCATCCAGATACAAACCCTAATGCATTTCCCTCGAAAATTCCTAGGAGACTCTCCCTAAGGACCACTTTCGGGGTCAGATCACTGATCTGATGGTAAATTACTTGCCCTCACTGAGCTGTAATTTTTACATCTATGAAATGGAGTTAATGGTAGTAGCAGCACTGCCTCCTTGATGAGGTTTGGAGAAGGGTTCTGTGATCTGATGTACATCCTAGTGTTTTGAAAAGTGAAGAATTACAGAAATGTAATAGAGATTCTGACATAGTATCATACTATCCCTTGTAACTAGCGATGTGAGCTTAGGCTTTTTTACTCCCTGTGTATCTGGCGAATCACCTGCCAGAAGGCTGGCATCAGAGTCCTTGCCTTTATTACTTTCTATATGTATGGAAATGTTCAGGTGAGATCGTCTGAAAGCAACTGTCTAAAAACCACATAAAGAGGAAGGAAAGACTATAGGAACGTGGCACTGTGGAAGTGAGAGTGAAATTTTGCCAACAAAGTTGTGCACTTTCTACTGTCTCCTTCAAAAGAGCAATCCCCAGCCTCACCCAGGTAGCAGGGTAAGTGCACAGAGGAGAAGCTGGGTTGTTCTTTTCCTTGGAGATACCTGGGCTCTTGGGAAGCTACCCCTTGAAGAAGGGCAAAAGGAGACCGACAAATCCTTCCTTCAGGGGTTGGTGCTCAGAGCGCAGCCTGTGCCTGTCATAGCAGCCAAACATCCACTTGACTAACAACCATTGATCTGAGTTACTGATCAATTCCAGAGCTGCTGGTTAGAGCCTTTTGGGATTTTTCAAAGGAACCCTTCTCTTCCTCCCCCCCCCACTTCCTCTTTATTGTGTCTTCCTCCAGTGGCTGAGAGGGGGCGCTGGATGGGGTAGATCAAGAGGAGACAGACCAGAAGGTTGAACTTGATAACCGGGCAGAGCTCGGGGCAGGGGGTGGACTACCTGTGGGAAAATTGCCCTCTAGCCGGCTCCTGGGAGAATCAGGCATCTGCACCCTCAGCACAAGTGAAAAGTCAAATTGGTAACGAAGTATGGCCGTGTCCCCAGCGGTCACCGTACTACTCCGCCCAGAAATATCCCTCTCTCCTGCACACCTGAGTTAGGGGCTTATTGCACGCTCCCGCCCCCAGAAACCTGCCTAGTCCTCTGATGTGAGCCGCGCGCGCCATGCTGAAGCCTCTGGATCCCTCGCGTCTCTTCCTCGCTTTGCCGGGACTTCCTTCCTTCTGGGCTGTCTGGACACTCGCACACTCCCCCTTTCCCCTTTGGTTTGCCTGTTAATCCCAACCCTCCGCCGCTGCTCACGCAGGTTCCCCCGCTGGGCTTCTGTCCCGAGCAACAGACGCACGGTCCTCAAGGGTTTGCTTTCCTGACCCCGGCGCTACACGTTGCCAACAGCACTTGAAACAGAATCCCGACGGTGACCACCCAACCAAGCCCGCCGGGTCCACGCAGACCAGGAAGCGGCGCCCTCCGCCCCTCGCTCCCTTCAGCTCCCGGTCAAGGGCAGTGATCACGCCGCCGCGGGTCCCCGAACTTTCCTCGCTCTCAGGGAAGCGCTTTGTCTCTTTAAAGGAGACTGGGGACGAATATTAAAGACTCGGGTAGGTTCTAACCGAGAAATCTACCAAATCCGCTCCATTCCGTGACAGGGATGGAGTCGGAGGTCCACGAGCCGGAGCCGAGCCCTCAGGACACCCGCTCGCGCTCACCGCGCTCTGTCACCCCACAGACCCAGAAGTCGCCCCCGCCCCCCCTCCAAGTCTGCGAGGAAAACCGTGGGAGGGGGGCGCAAGGCGGATCCTGGAGCCGAGGCTTCTTCCCCCTGCCCCAGCCCTCTGGCACAGCCTGCCTGCTTCCAAAGCCCAGTGCAACAGCAGTCACCTTGACTCGCCGCGCCACGGTCCCCAGAGGTTTGCAAAACGCCAGAGGCCCCAGGCTCCCAGGCACGCGCTCGCCTGGCCGGAGACCCACCCCTGGGGACGAGTTTCCCTCCCTCGGGCAGCGTGGCAAGTTACCACTTCGCGGCAGATAATGCAGGGCGGGGCAGGGCGAGCGCCCCGTCGGCAGCGTCCGCGCGCCTACCTGGGATGGCTAAATTGGTGAGGGGGATGCTGTGGATGCTCTCTGGCAGAGTTGCCATCCAGTCGGCGAATTTCAGCTCGTTCTTCCCCTGAGACGAGGCCATCGTGCCGGTCGGCGTGTCGCGCGCTGGTCTCCGCACTCCTCGGCAGGCTGGCTGGCTGCTGCCGCTAATCCAATGTTTGCTCCGGCCGGGCTAGAGTTTACACTCCGCTCTGCGCCACACCCACAGGATGGCGCAGACACACGCTAATTTTAATAATTATTCAAAACACCCCATGCTCCCCTAGTGCCTCCGCCAGACTCCGCTGGAGCTTTTGTTCCTGACGTCCGCGCTCGGCTTTCTCCTCTCTCCCCTCCCTCCTCGACTCCCTCCTCCCGTCTTATCCCTCCTATGCGTCTCTGCCTTTTCTCGCCATGCTGCAGCTTTCCTTGTCTTCTTTTTAACTTGGTTCACCCAGCTGCTTTGCCCGTGGTTTTGCTCGGCCCTTTGATGTGACTTCCCGGTCCTGTTTGTAGGAAAGAGTCTTGTGGTTGAACCTAAAATCCTAGAAGACTTGGGATGCTATCGCCTCCCGGGGAGCAGACTCTCATACTGGCTTTCAGGACTTTCCATTCTTACCAAAGAGCTTTCCTTTTTGTAAGCTACAACAGGTTGTGCCTCTCCTCAGCCAGGGCCCACAGCCCTGCTTATAACAAAATGGTGGTCTTTAATCACCACCTCGCCTAATTTTTGGAGTAGTTGACAAGTGTGCTGTGGACAAAGAGCCGTGAATTCTAGTGGTTCCTACTTAATCCCTGGTGTCCTGTTCCAGACATTTCAAGGTAAAAAGCACTTCAACCCCTTCGTTTCCTGGATCGTGAGAAATCGGTGATTGCTATGGAGGGAGCTGCCTGTGTCCTCTCTGTGTCGTTTTTATGGCACTCAGGACAAGGTAAAGCCTGATGCTGGAAGAAAATCACATTTCCCAGTGACATACTATAATTATTGCCAGTAGCATTTGGTGGAATTTATTTGGCAACATTCAAAATGATTTATGCGATTGTCTGATTTTTCATTCCTTGGCAGACTGGAGAGATGTATCTCTCTCAGGAGAAATCACTCATTGAGCCTCCAAAGAACTGTCTTGGTCCACCTGCTCTCAGATGAGAAAGAGAAGAGAAATCAAGTTTTACAAATGTGATGAGTCCAGGAGTGGCCTGCGGAATGTATAAGCAATGCACTGAAAATATGGTAGGTCTTTGCAACCCAAAGAATGTAGATGCAGTGATGTGTAAATCCTGTTCCTAAAGTAAGTGCTTTTAGGTTGGAGAAATGAAAACAAGGTAGGAGAGAGAGCTATAAAACCTGGGAATGATCATTTTACTTCAGTAAACCATACAACACCAAAACCCACAACTAAAGCTTGCTTATTGTAGGAGGATGCAGAGCCCACAGAATATTTACTCCAAACGGGATGCACTGTGAGAAAGATGGAGAGAAGAGATCATTCCTCACCCTTAGAGATCAAATTTTCCATTGCTTCCTAGAATCAATTTATAGCTTCAAGAGAACAAGGTAGGGTTATCTTTCAGAATAAGAAAAAAAAATGTCCTAGGATTTTTTTTTTCCCAAGATAAATCTTAATATTCTTGCTATCCTGGTAGGAGCCCACAAACCCTTTTGATTGGCGTGAAAATTTAGCTCACTATAAGATTCCAGGTCAAGAGACCTACAAATACCACCCTTCTGACTAATGTCGGTTCTCTGTCGGCATCATGGCAGGCCCATGGGCAGCTCCCATTAGGAGAGAGCTCAGCTCTGGGCATCAGTTGCTCTGTCTAAATAGTTTGGGCAAGTTTTCTAGTGTCTGTCAGCCCTGGTTATCTCCATTATAAAATGGTGATAATAACTCAGAGATTTGTGGTGAAGCTTCCAGGAAAGAGTGTATATGAAAAAGCTTTGTTTTCAGCAAAGCATCACCCAAAATGTGAGATTTATGTTTATTAAGATAACATATGTTTATTTCCTTCATTGCCTTTTCTATCCTCACAGAGCATTCATCTTCAGGAGAATGAAATAATTATTAGATCTTGGGAATATTTTTTAATAAATTATACTTTAAAAACATGCCCTGTTCAAGTATGTTGAACTTATGTGTCTCTAAAAGGTTACCAAGCTTTTTTTTAAAAATGACACCATTTTAAATGTTGAAGATAGTTGTCTTTATAAAGAATTGTATGAGGATGCTGAGAAAGGGTAACCCTCTTACACTGTTGGTGAGAATGCAAGCTGGTGCAGCTACTCTGGAAAACAGTATGGAGGTTCCTCAAAAAGTTAAAAATAGAGCTACCCTATGACCCAGTAATTGCACTACTAGGTATTTACCCCAAAGATAAAAATGTAGTGATCCAAAGGGGCACCTGCACCCCAATGTTTATAGCAGCAATGTCCACAATAGTCAAACTGTGGAAAGAGCCGAAATGTCCATCAGCAGATGAATGGATAAAGAAGATGTGGTATATATACACCACAATAGATACCTATAAATATATTATACAATAATACAATAGAATATTACTCAGCCATCAGAAAGGATGAATACTTATCATTTGCATGGACGTGGATGGATCTGGAGGGTATTATGCTGAGTGAAATAAGTCAATCAGAGAAAGACAATTACATGGTTTCACTCATATGTGGAATATAAGAAATAGCACAGAGGATCATAGGGA